TAAGGAACGTTAAAAATGATTATTATAAACAACAAATTATTGATTCCGGCACAAACTATAAAAAAATTTGGAATATAATAAGAGACATAAGCGGAGAAAGTAAAAAAAAAACAGTAGAGAATAATGATATAACACTAGAAAACGGTGATAATACCAATGATAATCAAAAAAAAGCAAATGAATTCAATAACTATTTCGTGAACATAGGTAAACACATGTGTAAAAATATCGATAGAATAACTTTACCTGAAAACTTTCTTTCCGATACCAAATTAGATCGATCAATTTTTCTTGAACCTGTAACTAAAAACGAATTGATAATAATAATTTCAAATTTAAAAAATAATACGTCACCTGGACCGGATAAAATCGCATCCAAAACACTCAAAAATATCCATAACAATATAATAGATCCATTAATACATATCATTAATCTCTGCTTCTCTACTGGTCAACTCCCACAATAATGGAAAATTTCAAATATTACCCCTATTTTTAAAATGGTAAAAGTCTCTCAATTAAATAACTACAGACCTATATCTGTTATAAATAATCCTGCAAAACTTTTCGAACAATGTGTCAAAAAACGACTTGTTGAATTCTTTACCAAACACAATATTATAAATAAACAACAATTTGGATTTATAAAAAACTCAAATACCGAAAACGCCATAATGGAATTTGTTGATAAAACGGTGAAAGCATTAGACGAATCATCTAAATGTCTTGCAATTTTCTTAGACCTGGCAAAGGCTTTCGACACCGTTAATCACGAACTATTACTGAATAAACTATACAATTATGGTGTTAGAGGTATCGCATTAGAATTATTGAAGAACTACCTAACAAGAAGAATACAACGGGTTAAGATTGGGGATAAAATAAGCCATGATGAAGAAGTGCAAACAGGAGTACCACAAGGGACAGTATTGGGTCCGATACTGTTCCTGGTGTACATTAATAGTATAACAAAAATAAACGGTATGCAAGGTCATGTAATATGCTATGCAGACGACACTGCTATAATATTCACCGGATCAACGTGGAAACAAATAAAACAAACTGCAGAAAGAGACTTAAAAAAAATTCATACATGGCTAAATAGTAACATGTTGTCCCTAAACGTTAAAAAAACAAAGTTCATAACATTTTCTCCTACGATTCGAGACCAACCAGAAGACCTCAAACTGCATACTAATTCTTGTGATATCACAGATAATTGTAAATGCCATTCTATAGAAAAATCTAGTTGTATAAAATACCTCGGAGTCTTCCTAGATCAGCATTTGAAATGGACCGATCATATCTATTACGTCACAAAACGACTACGAGTTCTCATGCACAAATTTTTTGAATTACGTGACATATTATCGAAAAAAAATCTGGCCATTCTATATACCTCACTTGCAGAATCACTAATACAATATTGCATTCCGGCTTGGGGACCAACATTCAAAACCCATCTCAATCCATTGCAGACTGCACAAAATTTATTATTAAAAATTATTTTTAGAAAACCTAGACTTTTCTCTACAAATCAATTATACCAGGAAATCAAGATATTAAATATCCAATCAATCTGTGCTTATCAATGCCTAAAAAGAATTCATCGAGATAAACACAAATTCACACAACAACACTCACGAGAAACTCGATCAGTAACAAACTCGAATATTAAAGTCGAATTTTTTAAAAAAACTGTTACACAAAATTCATTTTTTCACTATGGGCCAAAAATCTACAATACCCTCCCAAAAAATCTTAAAGAAATGAAAAACTTTAATATTTTCAAAAAGGAAACAAAGAAATATATATTGAGCCATCCCGACAAATTTTTCTAATAATCACAATTATATAATTAATTGAGAATTTATGATCAACCAGTTCTGGGACTTTCGTCCAATCTTCCTTCCTTCCTTCCTTAATATGAATACCATGAAGTATTAGTAAACATTTATTACTTGCCACATCAAAATAATCCACTGTAAGCTTTGAGTGTCATACATAACAGAGATCACAAGACAGACTTCAAGTCTAGCGTGACGATGTTTTGTAGGGCACTCAGTAACCGAAAATTGTCAAATAACAAATAGTACATAAAATCAATATAATTTATTATTATTAATTCAAAGATGCATACATTTGTACATGGAATACTGAGAGAAATTGAATAAATTGAAATTGAATTGAAAATTCTGGTTGATCTCTTCTGCAATTTCTGCCTTGGCTTGTGGTAATCTTCGGGCTGGTTCACGATTCGGTCTGGTATCCCCCGTATCGATTTTGTGACTGACGATGTTGGTTCTACCTGTTTTTCCATCGACAGGTATGAAAATGGATCTATACCTCTGCAGTTACTCGGTTAACTTCTTCTTCTGTAGGTTGTTGAGTTGAGCAGAGCCGGCTCCATCAGTGGTTGCTGTCACCTGGTGGATTATAGAGGTTGCCGGGACACAGGTTCCAATCTTCGTTCCTGTGGCAATCGTCACACGAATTCTAAAGTCCAGTTGAATTCCTTGTGCACCCATGATGTCCGTTCCCAGAATAACATCATCTTCAATATCTGCCATCATAGCTCGATGTCGAAATTTGACGGTTCCGATCGATATATCCACATCGATTTCTCCATAAACGGTGGCAGCTTCACCCGTAGTAGTTCTTTCTCAGACGCCATCTAGAGTTCACGAGTTGCTTTCTTGAAGACATCAGGAGTCCACGTCGCAGGATCGTTTTCAATGTACCAGTATCCACCAACAATACGCACTTCTTTCCGTCGATCTGTTCATCTACGCAGACGCTGCTAATATCACGCCGTAGGGATGCCACGAAGATGAGGGGGTCTTGAGAATAACGGGTCGAAGCTGGTTTCTTGTGATCGGCCCGCTTCAGTTTCTCTGCAGTCGTTTAAAATGGTCTCTTTCTCTCATTCAAGAGACCCTTGATGGCGTTGATTAAGGCTCCATTAGGATCTTGCCTGGTATTTTCCGCTATGTTTCCGCTCTCGTTCAACGCTAGGACTCTCGCTAATCCTCGGAAAGCTTCTGCTGCGGCCTCGATCTCAAGCGCAGCTGCCAGAGCACTGGTGAGGTATTTTGGTCGGATCAGGCGGACTGCTTTTTGCATTTCGATATCCTGCAATCCATCCACGAACGTTCGAACAGCTAGACATTTCATAAGGGACTCTGGGGCTGACGAGTAGGCACAGTGGTCCAATCGGGCTACATCCAATTCGAATTCTTGAAGACTCTCGTTGGCTCTCTGTCGACGGCTCTTCATTTGTGATTGAAACAATTTCTGCATATGTTCATGGCCATATCGTATGTCGATACGTTTGACGAGACGATCGTAGCTATCGACTTCACCTTCCGGAATGGCTTGCAAAATGTTCAATGCATCACCCCGTAGAGCTACTGTCAAAGCCACAACCTTGTCCTTGGATGTCCACCCATTGGCTTTCGAACTGCTTCAGATACTCCGGCCACGATGTTTTTCCATCGAAAGTAGGTGGTTTTACTCGATTGGTAGTAGTCACTGCATCTGGCCCTACTGTGGTTTCAATCATGAGTCGTTGGGACCATTTCCAGACTTCTCCAGCGAAGATCTCCTTTCTATTTCGAGCTGCAGCTTCTTCTCCATTTCTTCTATCTGGGTGATGAATTGGGTTGAAACCTGAGCTATAATCTCATCCTGCTGAGGCGCGATCTTTCCTTGCTGAGCAATGATCTGTTCTTTCTGAGCAATGATCTGTTCTTTCTGAGCAATGATTTGTTCTTGCTGAGCAGCAATCTGAGTCAGAACCTCTTCCTGATATGTTGATATCTAGGTCAATACTTCTTCTCGTTGGGCAGATATCTGAGGAGCAATCTGATCTTGCTGAGCAGAAAACTGAGCTATCACCTCTTTCTGAGCTATTATCTCTTCCAATCGAGCCAATATCTGATCCAATACCTCTGGCCGTTGAGCTGAGATCTGCGATGCGATCTGATTCTGCTGAGCAGTAATATGTGCCAAAACTTCTTCTCGCTGAGCCGCAAGCTGGTTCCTCGAAGGTGAACGTCTGTGGATCTTGTCCTACGCTCACCATATACTCTTTGAGACGATGCTGAAGTGTAGCTTTGATCCCTGTTGTGTCGAGATCTCTCTCCTCCAACTCGCGTTCCAAGTCCACTACTTTCAACTCGTGTAGTTTCTCCATTGCAACAGTCTGTTCACTTCACACTGAAATATCCCACACTTCTGACACCAATTGTTTCGTTATTCGGGTGCAGAAGCAAACACGACACTATTTATTTTCGAACTGATTCATTTAAACTAAAGAAACACTAATTTATATCGAATTTATAACTACTATTAATATGTGAAATAATTCATATCACGCGGTATATGACTATCTCTCTGACACTCGCTGCTCGACTGACTGGCGACAGTTGTCAGGCCGTTTATATATGAGATCCCTTGGTAGGCTTTGATTCTCGAACGTTCTCGAATAATCTCGATTTTGAACAACCCTATATCCCTGAAATCATTCCAGCTAGACCCCAAGTGTGATGCATTGATGAAATCAGCTCTTCGGGGAGAATCTTAAAATGCAATGAAATACAAGGCGTTCCATTTGAAATAAGAAAGTTTTTGCTTCTTCTCGTTAGAAGCGGCAACGCCGCAGGGCTGAAAATATTTTAGAACGAAGTCCCCCTCGAAAATGTAGTTTACATGTTTCAGATTTTTTTCATAATCCGGTTTTGCCGACCTACAGAGCCGCTGTTTCGTTTTCAATGGCCCACTCTGTATACATATTGTATGTCTCGAATATTTTTGTCATAATGTTTGAATATGATAATGTCGAAATTATTTCAGAGACGCGGTATTGAGAAATGGCTCTGCGAATATTCTATCCTCTTGAAGTTGTTTGTTTCTATATGTTTATTCATTTATACATCTATACCATGAAACTTCAATGAGCATTTTTATGATCATCATTATTTTTATCAATAACATTTCAGTGCGAGGCTATATGACAACCAAGACTTCAACCAGTAATGATGGATCCAGATCAGATCAAGAGACCTTCAGAGAGCTGCTTGCATATAAGCAATCACTTCAAATGGAATTGAAACACTATGAATCTAATACTAAATATAATGATGATGTCATGAATGAAACTGACAGTTACGAAAGTTGTGGAGTTATTCCCGCAAATACAAAGCTCCAAATTACTATCAATACCAACGACAAAACTGAAACGGTAAGATATCGAAAATAAACACTTATAAAAATTCGAGTCATATGTTATTCCTGTGATATTTTGGTTTGAGAAGAAATTTCATCATGGCATAAAACTGAATATTATGAAGATGTGACAAAAACTTCACTATATGATCATATGAGTTTTTTCAATATGAAAGTCATGATTCAATCCTTTATATTTCGTTATGAAATGATGATATTCCATAATCGATCATTTGCTGTCAAACAGATAACCGCAATAGTAAAACAATAATCTGATTCACTTACTTATTGAAAAAAAAATACGGATTTTTGTGTATTGATCTCGAGAGTAAGTGTTGACTCGCAAAATAAGGAATTTGTCCCTGATGAAATCACCATCAAAAAATTTACCATAGCCACATACACTATATACAAGGAAATAAAAGTGATCCTTGAATTTGCTACCATGAATTCCTCATACTATTTCAGACAGCAGAAAATGGTACCTATTTGAATCACACTATCTGAGGATTGAATCCTGCGAGATCAAATAGTGTTATTCAATATGTAACTTCATTGGGAGCTATCCATATCACAGCTCAACAGGAAACAATGACCATTTTGCTATCAGATCTCGGGATCAGACCAATATGGTCGATATCAAATCCACACTATTCAATGCCAAATATTTAGACAGCAATGCGGTATAAACGTCACAGCACGTGCATGTTACACTGTGTACTGTGTATACGGGTTAATTGAGAGATACAGTGCGCAACATTTTTTCAACAAAGTCGTTTTCAGTTTGCGAGTCTATCACCTCGCAAAATGAATAAACAAAGATCTGGAACTGTTTAAAATGATAAATAGAATTCCATTTATTCAATGATTTCATGAGATGCATAGTACTAATAATAATTTTCAGCCCTTCATAGAAATTTATTTATCGACAAATAATTCAACAATAATCAGATCCACAACGATATTTGCTGAAGGAATCTTTGAAACAGGTGAAACTCAAGTTATCCATCCTCCACTAACGAAACTCAGCTCTGAATTGACTATACCAATATTCATGGGGAAAGATAATCCTGTGGATATCCATCTCAAGGTAAAGTGAGGTTTCCTAAATCCATAAACTCTATCCAGAGGTTACATTATCAGGACAGGATCTACCTAGAAGATATATCGTGAATACCTTTATATAATTCCAGTTGTCTAACCCCTTGACTTCCAATGGAGTCCATAAATATTCTGGCGGTTGAAGTTTCCACCTCAGCAGGTGTCAGAAATAGAATATTTCTAGGTGATTTAGCCCTTGGCGAACTAATATATTACATAAGCTCTGCCATCAGGTGATATTTGCGTTTTTCACAGGAAGGCGCAGGACCGAAGAATGCAGGCTCTGCAACGTTTTCCGCGAGGCAATCAGCTGCGTCATTTCCTTCGATTCCTTCATGCGCTAGAACCTACCTAGAGTCTCATGTAATCTTTGGGAATCAAAAACAAATGATTTTAGTGGTTTCAGTGCGGCTTAGCTATCTGAGCGAATAAAAATTGATACGAACTTTACTAATGTTCATTTATTTTTTATGAATAAAAATTAGAAAAACAAGTCTCACCATTGGCTCCGGCAACTCTCGCGTCTGGCGAGCAGTTGGCTAGTGTTCTGATTTTGTTTGGTGTCTAGTTGAGCGCCACATTTTTTTTATGAGTGTAAAACTAAGAAAATGTTATGAATGTTCGATTTCAACCTGATATGGAATGAGATGAAATAAATAAAAGTACACTTGTGGTCCCAGGTGTAATTCAATCAGTAGAAATCGAAATTCGGCGAAATCTAAAATTGTTCTATCCGTCATTCGGTTGCCCCCTTACGAGCAACCCTCAGAAGTCTTCGAGAGTCTTGTGCGAGCAAGGAATGACGGGGGCCTTACCTTTTAACGTGTGATCCCAAACACTACACCAATAGTTTCTTACTATCTGAGTTGAATGATTGAATCTACACTTATAGGAGTAGTATTACAAATTCAGCAGAGAAAAACATGAAACCCCATTGAAATATCAAACTCCCCATTACAGGCCTGTAGTGAAGCTCACAGAATTCTTATAATAATACTCAAAGGGACCTCAAAAATAGGTATATACTCAAAAAAATGTGAGTATGTCGCACATAATAACCCTAATTTGAAGATGAAGGTGTTGGTCAAAGGTTGATTTGCTGTCTCATCAAAAAAGTTGGAGTATGTGGCATTGGATAACCATTTTATCACAGAAATTGAAGAATGTTGCACTGGATGATCATTTCGGTCGGTGGTGGGGTAGTAGGGTCAATCAGCTGGTAGTGGTGTGGCCCCCTTAGAGGGGTCCTAGCACAATCGTCCAGCCATGTGCTGTCGTGACGTTCTCACCTACAGCCGACCATGGAAACTTTCCTTGGAATCGTGGACTCTCCAACGAAAGCCGGCTGAGGCCAGCCCGATGACTCCCAGAAAGGTAGAATTCTTTGGAATCAGTATCCCAGCCAAGTGGTTGCGATTGACAGTGGGAGAGGACCTTCCAGAATCTCCATGTACGAAGGCCGGTTGTCTAGAGGAAGTCAGTAGTGTTGAACCCAAAGGTCGGCAAACAGACCTTGGACTTCCCAAAATTACCGGTATGGATCGTGGCCTCGCCTTCGAAAATCCCACCTGAAAGGCCCTCAAATCTACAATAGATTTGGGGATATAAACATAATCAAACTTGCCATGGACTAGCCAAACCAAATAGAAAAATTCAGAGTCACCTCTTTTCAGGATGGCCTTATCACCAGGAAACCAAAAATATCAAATGCCTCATTTTTCGTGCTCTTCACGATCGTCAAATCGAAAATGGAAGAACCCGGAAGGTAGATTTTCTGCGCTAACCTGATTCCCATTCCATAGAAAAAAAAAAACGCTCAACGCCAACTTTCACAGAACAGTGTTTCTGCTCATCAGAAAAAAACATCACGAGTTGTTGAGTTCAATCACGTGCTGTTGAATCGGTACCTGATTGGTCAGTTTACCTCAATTTCCACTACACCAAAGAAATGTAATTTCCGCCTATTCAAAATTAGTTACTAATTACAACCAATAGTAATCGAACAGCTGGAAACTACCTAGACGCTCCGACTGGTGGTTAACTAAAAAAAAAAAATTGTTCTAAAATTGTTCTATCCGTCATTCGGTTGCCCCCTTACGAGCAACCCTCAAAAGTCTTCAAAAGTCTTGTGCGAGCAAGGAATGACGGGGGCCTTACCTTTTAACGTGTGATCCCAAACACTTTCTTGGGCCATCAGAAAAATTTCTGCAGTCAACGGGGATCGAACCCACGACCGGCAAGCGAATGCGAATTAGAATATAGACAATCTGTCCGCACGGCTACCTGGCCACCTACCTAGACTCTCCGACTGTTGAAACATGGTGTCCATTGAAATAGGATAAGGTCATCTTTCTCGTACACGAACATCTAACAAGGACGCCAGATCTCACACAACACAGCTTAAGGCAAACGTCTGCTTGTCTGGAAGATATAGCCTCTGAAAACAACTGAAACAAGAGGACGAAGAAATGGGGTTCCTGTCCCTGATGGGTCAGATTTGCCCAAAACAAAGTAACCTACAATAAATACTAAGAAGGAAGAAGGAGAAAAATGACAATTTTTTCACTAAATCTACCTTCCACTTGATAAATAACGAGGTAAGCCTTCTCCAAGTGATCACTGACTGCATTTTTCAACTTTTCAGGATTTTAGACTATATCAAAAATAACTATTTGAATTTGTTTCAGAACAACCACCTGTCTCCAGATATTCTGAACTGTTGGACGAACTCTCATAAGAACCACCTTCTAGCAGTCTAACTTTCTGGTAAGTACTAACAACTCTCTTTATTTTTTATATTAATAAATTTCACTTTCCCTTAGATAATATTGGAGTTCCCAGGCATGGCCTACCCACAACAGCATGATGACTAGAGATGTTCCCTGAAGTTAATTAAGTGATTGTAGTGGTATTGTTTATTTTACTGAATGGGGGGTATCAAACAGAGTGAGCAATGTGAACGTATCATAGTGAAGATATCGATTAATTGCCTGAATGAGGAGAAAACCAAAATTGACATGTTGGTATCTTCATGTTGATCAGTTCTTTATTTATCTTTCCAGTTTTTGAACTATATATATTTTGTGAGATGAAAAGGTCAATTTTCATGTTACAAAATGTTGGCATTCTCCAGGTGGATGGAATACATTCCAGCTTAGTAGGAAGATGTTTATGTGAGCATTCATGCAAAAAAATAAATGCTGGGCTATAGTTCCAAATGATATTTGCAGTTTTTGATGTAACTACAGGACTGCTGAAAAAATATAACAATTGAATCATCCCATACAGTTTTTGTCGAACATGTAGAAGAGTTATAACTATTCAATCGAAAGAGGAAATTTGAATCAATTTTGTACCTTCCCTGAAACTGTTTCACCCTGCAGATAATTGAAAACGCTGTCGGAGTTTCTTCAGCGTATTTTTGAATTAGTCATCGATGTTATCGACGTCATCTTCTTCTACATCAGTCAAAACCCAGATTACACGGAACTCTCAGCGATATCTCTAGGAAGTTATCTTCAGAATTGAAATGTGAAATCCTTCTGCGAAGTGCCAAAGATTACTATATGCTGTCACCATGAGAAATACTCTCTGGAGTCGTCCAAAATAAATCGCGTAGATCTCGCCTCATATTCGAAATATTTCCCATCAATGAAATGCGAAAACCCAAGGATATCCTAGACGTAACAAGAACAAAGATTTCCTATTGCGATCTCCTAAAGTGATCACATGAACATGACCTGGATAATGAATGAATATTCATACACATTATTCAGTTGTTTTTTCTATTCCACTTTATAATTCATCAGTGAAACAAAATATTCAATTGGCCTTTCAATACCGTGTGAGTCAAGTTATCGTATACAGGCAATATCTCGCTTATTTGTCAGGATAATTGAAAAATCAGGAACTGCATTGAATGGCATCAAATACCCTTCCTGATGACTTATGAAAAATGTAATACATCTGCGAGCCCTCTGATATTTCATTCAAAGCAGCCATCATGATTCCCTTTCGTGCGCTCCAAGCGATAAAAAAAAATTGCAGTAAATTAATGATAATTTTCTACTCTCACGAAAAAGACGAGAATATTTCAATCCAAGTAGGATCAAAAATCAAATATCCACTTCAAATTCGTGGGTAATATCGGACGACCTTTTCTTCGAACGGTTACCCGGCCAACTTCTGGGAGATATTTTCGAGCAAAAATGTTTACTTTAATAATGTGTTGCTATAGAATGCATCAAGTAAATAGATTTTATTTCGTTCAACATAAGAAACACAGGCATATAATTGAACATATCGTACGATATAGCCCTGGTTTGCGGTACTATAGCCTTTGACAGTTCGTAAAACACTAAATCAGAGTACATACAACGTTTCGCTACATTGTTTCAATTGAAACTCAATAGGCTGATTCAAAAGTTTCGTAATTTTATCTTTGGCGATGAAACAAATATCGAATTTAACTCCACCGCAAACAATATATAGCTGACGCTAGTGAGACTTCGCCGACAGGCGACTGCTGATAACCAATGACTACCAAGAATTCAACATCATATCATATCAGTGGCGGTCTTATGACGATTGATGCAAATAGCGCTCCTAAAGTCCTCGCTATAAGGAGATGTGCGAGTTGCGAGCACTTGAAGAGTTTGCCATTAGCAACTTATGTTGATTTCCTTGAGTCCTCGTCACAAGGTTATGTATGCGGATATCTCAAACAGCTCGTAGTCGCGAGCACTTGAAGACCTCGCCAGTAGTACCAAATTGATGCGAACATCCCAATGTCCTCGCCACAAGGCTATGTTCGCAAAATTCCCAAACAGCTTGTAATAGCGAGCACTTTGAGTCCTCGATAGTGGCGATTGATGTGAATTTCCCAAAGTTCTTGCCTGAGGGCATTGTATGAGAATCCCTACCTGGAATATCTTTAAGACCTCGCTGAGCATACCCTAGGTGGCGGATATTTGGAGGGGATATAGCGCTCTTGGCGACCTCCTAAAGAAGTTACAAAAGACATCACAATGTGCTAGAAGGATATCTCCGAGATATCTTCAGGACCTCTTTGTGCTGCCTGGGAATGATATCTAGGTTTAAATCTTCTAGTAGAATTATATCCACGAATTCAAATAACTCTTCATCATTCAGGGGTAGTTCCCGACGGTACTTCCGGGTCAGATTAAAAAAAACGTATATTCTCACGAGAATAATTTCGATTTGCAGTGACTAATTATTCACTCCTGATGATGAAGTGTAAGGTGATTGCTCTTGGTGATCACCATGAGTACGGAACGATTGTAATTGAGAATAAAAGTACACGAAACATTTCATAAGTAGTTAAAAGTGTGCTCTAGCGTACCGTCAGTACTGACACTGTGCCAAGCGATATAATGTATTCCAAAACGAAGACACAATTGGAAGAAACCCCAAAGTACCGTCAGGCATCAAAAGATTATGCCATATTATACTAAATGACTTGAAAAATGCAATTATCTAAAAATTGTTACGTTGATAAGAAACACCCCTTATAAAATATTGTGTTAAAAATCAATATAGGAGTATTTGTTACACGTTCGAATTGATTGCTATTATCAAGGTTCTTGTAAAAAATGCCTAATCCGTTTTCTCCGATTTTGCTGGAGTTTTTATGATCGCAGTTGGCCAAGGAATTGTGTTCGATAATTTTATTTTGCTCGACTGAGTCGACACGAGCTCGAGATACGAAAGTACAAGTGTGGGGTGGACCAAATTGTAACGAACTGTATTTTTATGGAGAGATTTCGCAATTTTTGTTATCTCATTTCATGTTATTATATCAATTTGCTAATGAATATTTCCATGTCCATGTTCGTTGTTCAACTGATCGATTAGAATCTAGCCCGTAGAAGGAGTAAAAATCAACAATTCAATTTCACGAGAATTTCCACTCGAGGCAGGTGTTCCACAGAGGTCGTTCGTCTCACCCCTTTATATACGTATCTTCCTGTGTCCGAGAGCACAAGTACTGCACTGTATGCAGACGATACTGCAATACATTGACACTTGTATTTCTCGGACGTCGCCAGAGGACAGATCCAACATCACCTGAACTGCAGGGTGATACCGTACTTCGACAATGCAAAGATTGGAATAAACCACTCAAAAACAGAAATGATAATTTTTGCTAAAAAATCCACCAACATCACGTTATTCCAATCTTTGCGTGTTAAGAACACTGAGGTGGAGGGTATTCGCCATAAGCAAGTAACCCCTCGTGTTCTATGGAGATCGAGCTCCTGATATACAAGAAAATAATAAGACCCACACTAACGCGCGCCTGTCTGGTTTTCTGTAGTATTTCGCCCACTCATATGAGTAGGTCACAAATACTACAGAATAGAGTACCCCGTATAATTACCCACGGTAACATCAGATACTCTTGAGTGGCGAATATGCATGATCAATTCCATGATCTGTCCCTCATGAAGAAGTACATATTGTAGTTGTCTAATGAATTCTGCAACCATCACATGAGGAACAGCACGCTCACATAATCCATGATTCGGTGGTAGTTTGGTCGGAATGAAGACTTTGGACCGACTGTATGATCTCCAAGCATATTTGGGCAATATTGATATTGTCAGAGCCATCACATGCTCATCAGCTTTAACCAATGAAATACTCTCGGTCACGCTCCAAGAATTCAGTGCATCGAGTTCTTCACTCCTAGTAAGTACTCTTCAAATCGCCTTCTATTCAAGGGCTCCAATACCAGCCAGGCAAATCAGAAGCGAACGGGGGAGAAATGTTGACAACATAAATATGGACTTGGCAACAATTCTCGAATGAGGATCCAATCACTTGGTAGATTTCAATGCAAACAAAACACAAGCATTCCTTTTCTCTAGAAAAGCTGATCTCACTGTGTCCAACATCAGCTTGTCAGGAGTAACCATACCTTTGAAGACATCCACTTCGATGCTTGGTATTACTATCAGCAATAACCTTTCTTGGAAAGATCACGTGAGATCCGATTCCTACCCTATTTTCCTCGGTTCTTATGATGTTTTCTGAACATTACAGGATATCCCTCTCCGTGGGAACCAGAACTTTAAAAAAAAGTTTTTCCCAACACCCATCCCTACCCTCCTTCACCCTACCACTTCCCTACCCTCCCTCACCCTACTACTTCCCTATGGTAATGCACTTAGAGATATTTGAATTGTGGTTTTTGTTTTTATTTCCTACAAAGAATCAACTTGAATTCAGAGATATCATGATAACAGCAATCCTACATTTTTAAATTCTGGCTCACCCTGAGCGATTCGCTGGAATTGAATGTGAGAAAGCGTGTGTCCTAGGACGTAGCTCGAATCGCCTTCGATACACTTTTTGAATAAAATTCGCATCCCTGTGCCCACTCTGGTCAATCTCTTTATACCTTACTATTTTTGCTTATGTAGTTGATATTATTTGAAAAAATTCCAACACGAATTTGATTCGGCGTGATTATTTTCCTAACTATCCCACAAAAAGTCCAGCGAAAACGAACATTCTACCTTGGTAGTGAGTCATTTTTGTTCGAACTGACTTGTTCGTCATAGAAAACAGCCAACTCAACAACGGACTCTCCCCTTTTCAACCAAAGATCAGAACGAGAAAAACATATTGCTGTAATTTGCTTCTAACAAATTATCATTATGATACCGAATAATATGCGAGAATTATGCATTGGTTTTGGTTGAAACAACAAAAATCATACATTTTTACTATAAATATTCAATATAATTTGAGATCATTCCATAAGGAGAATCGTATTATTATATCATCAGATCTTGAAATCCCAACTGAAGGAATCATGACTGAAATATCATGATCGATTGTGAGTTCAACTTCTAGTCTGTTAAAAATAATATGTCAACGTCTTCTGATATAGACAAAATTTGTAAAAATACCGAAGAATCATGACTAGAATGTTTCAATCGATTGTGTGTGTTCAACTTCTAGTCTGCTACAAATAATATGTCAACGTCTTCTGATATGGACAAAATTTGCAAAAACACAAGTTAAGGTTTGATAAATCAAGCAGAAATGAATTCAATTGCCATCCATTCCATGAAGAACACAATGAATATACTTGTTCCTTACACGATATAGAATGTTCCAATACTGGAAATACAACCTGGCAAGAGTTTCTTGAAGTTGATATCATTCCACTCGACAACTTTTACACTAACATACGTTTTGCTTTAACACAGTAGTATATTGAACGTTTCTTGTTTCAATATTTTCTTGTGTATCACCGTATATCATTCCTCATTTTCAGGCATTTGTTGGATATCCGAATAGTACACAATTTCACGTTTACGAAATAACCAGGCAAATCCCCAAATTTTCTATGTATTCCTTGAAGAGGATAGATACTCAAGAAAGACCTGATAGTTATGTCCAGTTCAAGCTGAATGAACGATTGCAGAGAATCTGCATGTGGATTAATCAGAATTTCCTGTTCCCTGCGGATATAGTACTCGACACGCAGCCAAATTCAACTCTGAATCTGAAATGCCTTCGAGATAATAATGACCTGGTAATGATCTTCGAGATATCAGGTAGAGTGTCTATACATACGAACAATCTACTCTTGGCTGCAGATTTGGTGCAATCTTTGGCAGCATATTTGAACCTGAATAGTTTAGAGGTAATACATTATCTGCAGTACACAGTTCTTGAATTGGATTTAAAAAAAAATACCATACCATATTGTCAAAAAAATTGTTGATAATGCTTCGATAATTTGTTGTGTGACAAATACTTATAATACTGCCGACATACTCAGATTGTTTTTTTCTTCAATTTGTTCAGATCAATATCAAATTCTATGCAATACGAATATTCTTCGGTAAATAAAATTGATACATTTTCAATATTCACTTTTACCAAAGGGGCTGGTGATCATCAAAGGTAATGGAAACGTAACTGAATTCATCGAAATTATCCACCTTTGGACGATGAGTAGAATCGTTACTATGATGCATAATGTAATGATTTTTCATCTGAAGTATGGTTTGATGGAAATATGGATGAATTGATTGTAAACTTCAAAGACACAATCACAAAATTTTGACAAATCTATTGATTTTATATTTCAGTCAAAAGCATGTTTTCCAGAGGAGGAAGAAAATTTGAAAAATTATATGGACAAGTTAACAGAAATACAGAATGCCAGAGTGAGACTTGAAGCCGATATTGCTGATAAGCTAGCTCAGATACGGAATCTAATAATCAAAGCTGAAGATAGTCGAATCAACGATCTGTGAGTACCTATACATACATGATCATCTCATAATGATCTTATATATCATGAATATCCTCACAAAATCTCGAAATTCCAGTTGAATGATCAGGGTTGAAACTCATTCATTTCTTATGTCTTGTGGCGCACGAAAGAGAATCGCTTCAATGTTCGATACATCTCTGTTAAGATGTGTTTCTGATCAATATATGATTTGAAAATAGCTCCTGTTATCAATTATTCTGCAGGTTTAGTTTTACAGGATGAACAAGCAAAAATGTGTAGAGCTATAATAGTCTCAAATTTTGGAGGCCTAAGGCCCCTCCATGTTCGTCAAGGAGGAAAAGCTATCACTGCCAAAATCTGGTACTGGCAGTTGAATGTGTACGTTGCACTCAGTCTATTTCAAATTCATTTTAGTCTTCACTTACAACCTCTATTCCTCCATCTTCTTATACCTGTTCATCGATATCAAGGACTGGTCAGAGATCAACATTTCCAAACTTCAAAACAATATCGAAATATTTTCCAAGAGAATGCGTCATCAAAGGAACTGGAACAGTTCACACTAACTTGACGATTAGACATCCGAGTCTATTCGCGGGAATCAATGTTACCAGGTGGCGCTCGGTTTTCATCGTTTCATGTCAAAGCCACGTCAGAATTGGGGGAAAACAAACTCAATCCTCACTCAATCCCATTAGTGCCATTAGCTTGTGTACTGTGTACTGATAAGAGTGATAACACTTTATGTCATTGACAAGTTTGACAACTATAGCTACAGCAAGATGTATGCAATGTAGTCTATGCACTTTATCCATAGACAGTTTTTGGTACTCCTATGGGATCGTCCATTTCCCCAATTCTAGTAAACTATGTCCTTGACGACAAGGTTGAGGATTGTCTCAGCATCATTCCTTTTCAAATACCTTTTGTCAAAAGATATGTAAATGACTTGATATTATATGTTCCTAAGGCTGGATAGATGAAACTCTTGAATTTTTCAACTCCTATGATCAAAATCTGCAGTTTACCTGTGAGCCGGAAGTAAACCACTGCTTACCTTTCTTAGATATGACAGTCATCAGAGCTGATGATAATATCTTGCGTACCAAGTGGTACAGGAAGCCGATGTGCAGTAATAGATACATGAGTTTCCACTCATATCACCCAATGAAAATGAAAATCAATCTAATCCAAGCTTTGAAGAACCGGATAGTTAAGTTAACCCACCCAATATATAGACGAAATAGTCTTCATGAATTGAAGGCGATTTTGCTGGAGAATTCTTACCCAAGTAAACTTATTGATAATATACTATTCAATTCTCAAGATAGAATTGTTGGAATCAATGATGTTTCAGCTAGGGACCCAGTTCCTATAGTACTACCAAAATACAAAGCACTACCATACATAGCAGAATTAACTCCAAAATTGTCCAATGTTTTCAAACATGAAAATATCATCATTGCTAAAAAACAAGTTGAAACAGTATCGACCCTTTTTTCTGAAACCAAAACTTCCAAGAATGAACTAGAAATGAACAATGTGATATATAGAATCCCTTGCCTCAATTGCAACTTGACTTCGGTCAAACGTCGAGAAATTTATCAGGACGGATTTCTTCACACGAGAGTGATTGCGATTGTAATAAAAAACGCGGTGCACTAGCTGAACATGTCATTGATTCAAACCATAGGATCAACTTCAACGAGGTCAAAATTTTAGCACATGAAAATAGTTATTTGAAGCGCACTATCTTGGGAATGGTTCACATTAATAATAAATCATATAGTATGAATAAAAAGTCCGATATCGACAATCTTAGTACCATTTATAATTATCTACTTGAAATTGAACAAATGAACTGTATAACAATATTTCCAGATTATCAATAACAAATCCTCAATAATAAGTTTGCTCACTACCCAATTATTAATTCAAATTTCCCACCTTTCCGTATTTTTTGTATCATCTGTGGCCGTTTGTTAGCTTCCATCTTGTTGAGATATCGAAGTCGACTATGAAAAAGCACCGGTGGTTTACTGTTTTTCAAATTGTTTTCTACGTTTTACAGATTTCAATGTCTTCTAGTTTGTGTAACAAATTCAGCAAATGAATCGTCTGTTCTTCAATTGTTCCAACTTTGAACCAATCTCATGTTAAATAAGTACTCAGTTTCCTATGAGTTTGATTTTGTTCTTTATACATACCATTTTTCTTATAGATGTCTTGAAAAAGGGAATAAACATTCAACACATGTATCGGTTTTAACGATTTTGCTACTTTTTCATGTAATATTGAAACATCGGCCCCTGTATCCACTAGATACGGAATTGAGGTAATCGTTGAATCGTTGGAAATCGTAGCCATGGGACATGAACGAATAAAACGAGTAATTTGTGACAGGAGTACTCGTTTCGATGCCTCACGTCATTGTTTTCGATAACAGGTATCTTCCGTGTGGCCTTTCTTTCGGCAGATTTTACAGAACTTCACTTCCACTGAGTTGGTATTATCAGATGAAGAGAATTTTGGTTGAACTGCAGAAGGACCAGGCGGAACTTTTGGATTCAAACCGGAGACACTAGGAAAAGTTTGTTTCGAACCAGATTGAGTTTTTTCGCCATATCTGCAATGTACCTCTTTATGTCCATAACGATGACATCTTCGGCAGTTTCCTTGAAAACTAGGGCGTTCATCACGAAAGTTATATGGTCTTTTTCGTGATTTATCACGCACTCGCTCACCGATGTTATTGGCGTCACAGGCAGCCAATAATTTTAATAGTTCAGAATCACACGTAGAAGCCTGCAAGCAAAATTGATTTTTCACTTCCGGATTCTGAATATCGTATTCAATGAGGCTTAGCACAATGTTCCATGGAAAGTCTGAATAGAATCTTCTGATAGACGTCAGATTGGCGTTACCATATTCTACCAGTGTTTTAAAGTTGGGACTGGTGATTTCCAGACAGGATCGGAAACGAGTAGCAGGAGTGCCTAACTCAGGAAATTCTATTTCAAAGTCTTGTCTAAAAGAGGACCAATCTCTGACAATGGGTTTCCAGTGTTGATAAAAACGTGCCGCGCGACCTCGTAAGGCGTGGCCAGCTTTTAAAACAAGCAGCGTATCCGATATAACAAGCTCCTGTTATATCCGACTTACGTCAGCTATCCACTCGACCATAGTAAATGGTGTATCATCAGGGTCAAAGCTTGCTAAACGAAACTGCGCCGAAGATACATCTGAAGCTGTCGTAGGAACAGATTGCGATTGCGCAGTAATGGAAGCCGTCTGCAAAGAAGCTTGCGTAACCTGGGCGTTGGCCATCGTTGACAAAATTTCCATTACCTGTTTCTGGAAACTATTGTTACTCTCTTGCTGCATTTGGAATAATGACATCATGTTATGCTGTTCGTTTTGAGTAGCTACGGTAGCTGGTTCGCTTTCAATGTTCGGAACAACCGGACTCACTGAGCGTTCGCGTTTATCACCACCGTCAGCCATTTTTCTGTTCACTCACTAAAAGTCAATTTTAGGTCCTTTCTTCTGTTTTTTTCACAAGAAGGTTCTCACTTCTGATGATAGTAGATTGGCAATTAATTATTCTTTTCTAGTCAAATAAACCACCAATTTCTCAGAAAAATACGTTTTATTCAACTCCAAGATACAGAACGGTTGATAACTCAATCTCGACTGACTTGCTTATATCCAAATAAATCCATCATCGACTATTTCTCAGCCAAGCTTTGTTTACTAAACAAGCATTCACATCGTAGTAGTCCCGAAGAGATGGGGATTCGGAATAACGTGAGCTAACATATATATATATATATATATATATGCCCAGATTCTGAATGCCTTTTTCATCGTCTTCTGAACCATTCCTTACAGCTTCTTCTGAATTGATCAGGATCCGTGATACAGAGTGAAATAAAGTTTCGTGCATTTTGAAAAAAAATTCTCCGCCCCCCCCATTTTGTAAGAAGACCACGATGCTCATATTTCATTCGGGCATTCCATAAATAGCAACCATACCTCGGGACATTTTCGAGTTTTTGCCAAAAACTACTGTGGTTTCCGAAAAAAAAAGAATGTTTTGAATTTTTTCTAAATGGACTGATTACCTGTATCCTCAAAACGATGAATCAATCTATTTATTGTCATCACTGACTTATTGAAAATTGTACTTTAATGAGTTTGAGTATATCCTAATCGTCGTAGCCTGAAATAATAATTATCTGTACTGAATTATAGTTTATATCACTATAGTGATCTTACCCATAGTCTTACCTAATGATTTTCCATTTCGACCCGATTTGAACGAGGCATCTTTAAATTCTTCAGGACCCGAATTACACCGAAGTTTTCATGAAAATTGGCAATTGATATAACCTCTATGCATATCTTCATTGTTCCAACAATACGTTGTTATAGAAACAAGGTATCGTTGTTTGTTTTTGTTGATGAGATGTGTTGATTTACTGCTCACTAAGGTAGAAAACTTTTATCATAGACTGCAAAGTAATAAATTATTGATTGTTTTTGAGTAAACTGGAATACATATCTGCTCAAACGCTTTCCTGAAGTGCATAATAGCATCCATTTATGGAATTCCTCTAAAATTAGTCTATTAAAAAAAATACAAAAAATTTTTTTTTTTGGAAACCACAGTAGTTTTTGGCAAAAACTCGAAAATGTCCCGAGGTATGGTTGCTATTCATGAAATGCCTGAGTAAAATATGAGCATCGTGGTCTTCCGACAAAATGGGGGGGCGGAGATATTTTTTTCAAAATGCACGAAACTTTGTTTCACCCTGTATCACGGGTCCTGATCAACTCAGAAGGAGCTGTAAGAAATGGTTCGAAAGACGATGAAACATGCATTCAGAATCTGGTCGGCAATTCAAAATTCGTTCAATATTTCAGAAATTACGAGAAGTCAAACTTGATGCCAAATTTCACTATTAACGTTTCAATTGACGCCCAGTTTATATATATATATATATATATATATA